CAGAAACAGTAGCTCATTTGTTCTGAGGTGTTTTCCAAGCTAAATTTGCACTTGTTCATCTTGCTGCCCCTTCCTTTAATCTTTTTATAATGGATTTCCAAAATACATAAAAGAATAGTATAACAAACGTCTTGAACCCATTACTCAACTTCAAAAATTATCAACATTTTGCCTCCTTGGTTTCCTCTGTTCCCTCATCGTCTCTGCAACCCATACTAAATATTCCAACTAGCTGTTTTCTTGAGAACAGATCTATATAAGATAGACCCTGATGCTATCATCACTGTATTTGAGCAACTGCGTCAAACAATCTATCTTTCCAGAAATACAATAGGAAAAAAATCCAGAAAACACTTATACCCATTTCCCCACCCAAGCAATTACTAAAAAAAGGAGTGTCTAAATACCAGACTGTTTAAATCAAGGGACATGCCCATTACCAAGTTGGGAGAACTTTGGAGAGGGGTGTTGCTGTGTCTGCAAAATGAATGTAGACATGAACTGCTTTTACTTGTGTACACCTGATGCAGAATTTCTGAGTGAGTTAACTTAACAAGTTTTTACTGACTACCTGCTAAATATGAGTGATGAGATTAAGACAGAAGATAAAGAAAACCAGCTAAGTGCAGTGGCTCACTCCTGTAATCCCAACACTCTGGGAGGCTGGGGTAGGTAGATTACCTGAGGTCAGGAGTTTGAGATCAGCCTGGCCAATATGGTGAAACCCCGTTTCTACTAAAAATACAAAAATTAGCCAGGTGTGGTTGCAGGCGCCTGTTATTACAGCTACTCGGGAGGCTGAGGTGGGAGAATCACTTGAACTTGGGGGGTGGAGGTTGCAGTGAGCTGAGATCATACCACTGCACTCCAGCCTGGGTGACAGAGTGAGACTCTATCTCAAACAAAAAAGAAAAACCTAGTCTCTGTCCTCAAGGAACTCACGGGGTGGGGGTGAGAAAAGTACACAAATAACCCATATACAAGGCAGAATATGTTCTGTGCCCTAAGTAAACAAATCTAAAGCAAGAGCTCCTTTTAGAAATCCATCCACAGCAGTTGTAGAACCCAGGATATACCGTTTCCTCAAGTCTAGTTTTGCCTTCTGCTGTACAGCCAGTAAGTACACTATGAGACCGGGGAATTTGGCGACCCACAGAATAGACTTTTGGATGTGGATGTTTGATGTCACATTTTGCTACTGACTCTCCAGACTTCAGTGGGTGGGGATTATAAAGTTTTCCCAGGCCTTGGAAAACAATGGGGCTAATTCAGTGCCTGCAGAGGCTGACGCCCAAAGCATTCTACCCTCAGGCCACATACAGCAAGCCGCTCCGTAACAAAATAGGATAGTTGGAGTGTGTCCAGGAGACATAGCTAGATTGATTCTGAAGGATTTCCAAGGGCTCTCTCCCTGCCCTCTAAAGGACAGAGATCCTTCGGTGATCTATTATCAGAAGCCATCAGAAGTTCCCAGAGAAGAGTGTAGTTCTCTGGATAAACTGAAGAGATTGATGAAGTTTGATGGGACAGTGCAGTGTATGAAGGAAGCAGAGCTGAAAGCAGCAGGGGCATACACATGGCCCTAGAGTTAGATGCACAAGAGAGTGGAAGAAGAAAGGAGCAGAGCTGAGATGGAAGGGATATTTACATTGCAATCAGTTATCAAGATTGGTGAGGTGAGGATGGCTGAGGGGACAAGAGGAAGGCAGGAAGGAGAAGGCTCTGTGGAAGAGTGAAAGACAATCCAGTTGAAAAGGCAATCACTGAGGGAGGAATCTGAGGCAGGATCTCACAGGATACTGGGCAGGCGTATGAGAGGAGAGGCCTTAGAATGGGAGGGTGTGCAAGTTATGCAGGATGGGTTCATGCTAGGATGGAAGGGGCTTATTCCATTAAGCTAGGCACATCGAGAGGTCACTAAATGAAGGGTGAATTAGATGAAGGTTTCAGATCACAGAATGTGGGTGAGGATGGTAGAAGGTGGGGTGGCGGGAGCAGAACACTGAGACTAAAAATAGGATGAAACAACTGGGCTAGAGGGTTTTAGAGCATACAGACATGTGGATTCCTGGGGCTAAAGGACTCAAGATGAGAGGATTTGGGGTAAAGTGCCAGTGAGGTGGGAAACACTGTAAGGTGAGTGAGCTCACAGGGCAAGGTCTGGGAGAGTAGCACAAGAGATATTTGGGCAAAGGATGAAAAGAGAGATTGATTGGGTTCAAGACACTACTCCAAAACATGGCAACTTGAGAAAATGGCAGTAAGAAGGTCACTCTCACTTTCTCCAAGTCTCTTCTCCCCTGAAGCAGATCATAAAACCTACAAAGGATTTTTCTCACTTTCCCCTGAAGCAGGTCATAAAGCCCTCATAGAGAGATGCTCTCCCTATACTCAGAGGAAAGAAGCATTCTTGTCTGTGAAGACACAGGAACATAGAGAAGAGTCTGAACAAAAAGGCCTTGCTAAGTTTCTCCCAGCTTATTACTATTTGATAGTACCCTTTTTGTATTTTTTCCAAAACTATCCACTCTTCATCAAACCTAGCATAAAAATACACAAGTTTAATCATTTCTTTGGGTCTTCATTTCCTTATGAAGGCTCCTGTCATATAAAACTTACATTAAATAAACGTGTAAGATCTTCTTTTTAATCTGTCTTTTCTTATAGGGGCCTAAACCATAAACCTAAAAATATATTTTCCCTCCCCTACAAGGTGCAGGGGTTTCAGGGGATATGAGACCAAAAGTCACATGTAGTAAGATGAGAAAGTCACCAAGTTATGTGGTAAAGGGTAACAGAAACCTTGGGTGTCAGGGCCAGTCTCAGTGGCTCATGCCTGTAATCTCAGCTACTTGAGAGGCTAAGGTGGGAGGATCCCTTGAGGCTAGGAGTTCAAGACCAGAACCTTGGGGATCAACGAACGAGCTGATGCTGGGTCCAGGTAAGTTTGGGGGAAAGATAGGCAATGGAATAGGGTTTTTGTTTTGTTTTTAACTGTGGGTTTAAATCTGTTACTTAGCTGTGTGAGTTTCTGGTTCATTTCTCCACAGCCAACCAACCTAACAAACAAAAATATGGGAAGGGAAAAAGGTGGATATAATAATTAACTCTTGGGGTTGTTGAGCAGTAAATTTAACTTACATATCCAGAGCTTGGCACACAATAGGTATTAAGCAAGCCAATCATTACTGAGGCAAAATCAGGGTAAAGAACCAGAGAAATGAGGCCATAGCAGAGAAAAGATAGGAATTCCAAAATGTCAGGAGTAGCAATGTAATGCAAGGCATGGGCCACATGTTCAGTCTGTTGAATCCCTAGCACTCAGGACACAGTAAGATCCACAGGAGCTTCTCATTTCTAAAAACAGCTTATGCTAAAGGTTTGCATGTGCCAGGCATCGTGCCCAGTGCTTTACATGTGTTATGTCAGGAACTACTATTTTCCGCCCTTAGCAGATGCGGAGACTGAAGTTAAGACAGGCTAAATAATATATCAAAAGTCCCATAGCTGAAGGACCAGAACCAGACTGGAACCTAGGTTTGTTATGACCTCAATGCCCTCAAATGAAGCACTCTGCTACACGCTTTGCAAACATGTTAACTGATGGGGCCTGATCAAGGGAAATGGGTAGGCACTATTAACAGTGAAATAAGTGGGTGATGGGAATGAGGCAGTAAGGTTCATGATGAAAGCAGATCCTGGGGTGAGGTTGCAGAGAGGAAACTTCCAGGGCAGCGTACAAAAATGATTGGAAAAAATTATTATCTTGACCAAGAATTGCAGAATTTCACAATTTCACAGACGGAAGGAAACGCCAAGATCATCTAACCCAACCTAATGACAATCATGATTGATTGATGGATTGATCCAGAATTCTCTGATGCTTCTAATTATTACTCTTCATATTAATCTCTATATCCTCCTTAGCACCAAAAAGTTGCTTGGCACTTGTAAGTTATGTGCTGATTCACACTGACGAGCTGGGAGCACAGAGAGGGATGCCAGTGGGGGTGATTTTAGGATAAAGGGAGAGATGGAATGAGGGTCATAGGGCTACAGGGCAAAGATACTGAGGGTTGTGTAGAAGACGAGTGGATGGAAAACTATTGGAGTAGGGCTTCAGAGTTGCCTGCAGAGTTTTTAGGGGAGTCACCGAGTTTGTGGGGAACACAGGGTAGAGTCGGAGGGGTTCGGGCCAGGAGGGTCACCCAGGTTTGGGGGTCACTAAGGAGGAGTGTGGGGATCTTAGGGTGTTGTGAGTCACCGGATTAAAGCTGAGGGAGTCATTGGTTCGTGGGTTTCTGAGAAGTGCTAGGGAATTCCTGGGTTAGCAGCCAATGAATAATAATCAGTGGTTACCTGGTGAGGTCTTGGGGTCAGTGGGTGGGGTGTGGGGTCACCGGGGTGGAGGCGGGCGTCGTCACGGGGTGGGGTTTGGGAGTCACGGGGGAGGAGCCGCAGAGCGGAAAAGAGGGGCAGGCACCCTGGGTGGGGGAGGGGGCCCGGCCGCGGTGTAGCGGCCCGGCCGCCCGGCTAGGGCCGGAGCGAGGTGGGCACGCCGGGCTCGGGACCTTCCGGGGGCCCTGCGCCCGCCCGGCCTCCCGCCCTGGGCATGATGGACCCACTCTTCCCGCAGCCACCAACCTGACAGCCCCCGAGGGCGACTCCGCCGACAGACCGCCATGCACCGGGCCCCGCCACCAGCGCCGGCCCCGCAACCCGCCTGCGCCATAGCCCGCCCGCCCGCGCGCAGCTTGCCTCCCGCGATATCCAGGTTCCAGGGCCGCCGCACTTTCCTCTCCTCTCGGCGCGCCTCTACCGGGCCCGGGAACCCGTATAGAAAATACCGGGCACGCTCCACCCCGCCCCTCGCTTCACCGCGGCGGCCGTCCTACTTATCCCGGTTCCGGGGCTCCTGAAGCCCCGGCCGCCGGGATCTGAACTGAGCTTCTTGGAGCCCCGCCCCTGCAGGCCGGGGTGACGCATGGCTCGCGAGGCCGAGCGCCCAGGGAGGGCGTGCTGACGTCACGACGCCCGGGTCAAGGCCTGGGCGCGGCTCCGAGCCGGGTTGTCGCTATAGCAATCGGGAACCGCTACCTGGCGCGTCCAAGGATTCGGCCCACCTGAGGCGTGAGGAGGTGACGGAGGCCCCGAGGGCTCTGCGCCGTCACTTCCGCGGCTTGCGGGCGAGAAGGTGCGCTTTGGGAGTAGCGCGGGAGGACAGGAGGTGCAGGTTGTGGAGGGACGCAGGCCCGGGGACTGCCCTCTCTCTCCTCCGAGCTCAGAGCCCCGAAGGCTTTCTCCCGGCTGCGCGCTCAGCACTCGCTGCCTTACTGTCCCGAAGCGCTTTAAGGTGCGCAGTTCGCAGGCCTTGCCTACTGATCTTCCTTTGAAGGGAGCAGTTGCAGGTATTAAGAGCTACTTATTGAAAAGGACGATGTAGGGGGCGGTGAGGGACTCGCCTCCTCCGGGAGGGCGCCCTGGCGGTCCTCAGGTTCTCTCTCATTCCCGCGTCAGCCCCACTCTCAGGCTAGGCTTGCTTTGGGGCAAACATAAAAACCAAGCCCTTTTACTATTTCCCTCCTGGAAGGGGCTGCGATTGGGAAATTTTCAGAAACCTGAGGGAAAATTAAAAGGGAGCGAACTTTCGGTAAAAATTCAAATTTAAAAGGAGGGGCGTTAGAGAAGGAACTGGTAGAGATTGCCTCTTAGGAGAGGAACTGGGTGCCTGGAGGAATGAGGTAAGAAGCTTTCCCCTCTGTCCTTTCAGACTTCAACTGGTTTCTTTTGTATCTTCCCTGCCCCAAAAACAATGTAGCCTACTAAGAATAATTTTAAAAGGACATAAACTGGACACAGAATGTAAGTACTGGGTTTGGGGCTTGTAGTAGCTAAAGATATCTTTGAGGACACAGGCATCCTCTTCCTCTCTTGCCTGAAGACCTTAACTAGAAAGACCCCTTTCTGACCTTATTCTGGCGGGGACCAGAGTTCTCATCAGGTTCTCAGGTGGGCAGTGAGTGACAACTGATGGTTAGAATTCCTATGGTTAGAATTAACCATAGGAATCCCGTGCCTGGGATTACAGGAGTGAGCCACCTCACCGGGCCAAGTAGCTCCTCTTATAATACGAATTGAGGGTTAGAAATACAACAGGGATTAGAACTTAGGCTGTACCTGAGTTTGTCCCCCTCCAACCACCTTTTTTTCCATAGTAAAATATATATGTATGTATGTGTATGTATATATCTGTCCTTTCTCACATCGCTTATGGATCCTAATCTGATGGCCAGTCACCTCTGCCATTGTACATTTAACGAGAGTCTGGGAACTGTCTGAATCTGAAGTAATGATCCTAAAGGAAGGTAATTGCAGGTCCTCAGAAGAATTGGTGAGGATATTTTGGAGGGCAATATTGAAGATCATTGCTAGCAGTTTGTGTCCTATCCCTTCCCCTCAACAAATAGGCTAGTGATCTTCAGACATTTTTTAGAATGAACCCATAAAAGAATTTTGAAGAGCTATGTGCTGCTTGTTCATTTCTTAAGTTGATACCTAAATTTTCCTTCATTAATTTAAAAACTTATAAAAGATAAAATTTCAAATTTTGACATCTTAAACTAAGACTTAACATCATTCTTAATGTATCCGGCAGGCCTGATGTGGTGGCCCTCGCCTGTAATCTCAACACTTTGGGGGACCAAGGCAGGCAGATTGTGAGGTTAGGAGTTACAGACCAGCCTGGCCAGTATGGTGAAACCCCATCTCTACTAAAAATACAAAAATTAGCCAGGCATGGTGGTGCATGCCTGTAGTCCCAGCTACTAGGGAGGTTGAGGCAAAAGAATTGCTTGAACTTGGGAGGCGGAGGTTGCAGTGAGCCGGGATCATGCCACTGCACTCCAGCCTTGGCGATAGACAAGACTCTGTCTCCAAAAAAGAAAAAAAATAAGTATCCGGTGGATTCCAAGTACCCTAAAAATCTAATACTTACCATCATTCACTTAAAAATAAATGAACAAACTCTTCTTTAACAAATTTTATATAGTTCTTTCTCCTTAAACTTCTAATTCCATTTACTTCCTGTAATTATTAGTATATAATTTACTAAACTTTTTAAACTAAATATTACTAAATTTTACTAAATATTTTTAACATTTTTATGACTTGTGAAACCTAAAAAGTACAATTTTTATTGAAAATGCATCCCTTAATGAGAAATACGGTGTTTCTCCTCAATTAGTTCAGGTATTCATGGATTAATATTACCTAATGGTGGAAGGTGATAAGGTGCAATATCAATCCTTTACCTGTTTTTTATTTTCATAGACATGAGCACTGAGAAACCTTGTTTGCATTATTGGAAAAGGAAGAGATTTGTTACAATTATATTCTTTGAGTCTCTGAACTTCTAAATTACATGCCAACTATCACAGAGTGATCTATTAATATTATCAAATACTATCAAATAGAGTCTTCTTTTAATTTTGTTAAAAGCAAGGGATTAGAAACCACTGAACTTCCAAAAGGATTTATCTAGTTATTAGAGTCTCAGTTTCAGTTTTATTAAGCACAATTATTAATTATCTGTGACCTTTATACTCAGAAGCACCTTGTTAATCAGATATTGATTTCCATGCTTCTTTGCCAAAACAATATTTTTTATAAAATTCTTTTATTATTACATGTTTCAGGAATTTTTTGTTAAACTGAAATGCAGATTCAGCTCATTCACTGTATAGAAAACAACTGGCAATTGTGGAATTGGCAAAGCCAGTTTTCATTTCAAAACAATCAGCCAAATCAGACCTACTTTCTGTTAGAATAACGTTTGACTTTATTCTTCCATTCAAATAAATATGTTAACATTCATTTTGAGGAATATTATAAAAATCGTTAGGAAATAAGTGATTAACTGTAGTTTGTAAAACAGACCACTAAGCAACCAGTTAAGATTAAAATTATGTAGACCTACTATTAACATAATAAATGTTAAAAATGAGACAGTACTAATTCTCATCATATAATTATTCCTAATTATATACATAATATAATGTTTAATATGTAGTTAAATCCATCAGTTTTGAGAAGTCATATAGAAGGTGTATATTCCCTTGGTAAATGTGTGTGTGCCTGCTTTCATCAAACTCTTGTTGTTCAGCTTCTGGGAACAATTAAATGAGAATCATGTCTAAAAATCAGAAATAACTCTAATAATCTTGTTACACAAATTTTGCCTTCTGTATTTTTTAGAAAGGAAAGAAATAATGAATTGAGCAGCTAGCAATTTCATTTTTTACTTGGAGATAGAAAATAATAAACATTTGTAGGATGAAATAGGAAGACTGATTGCAATGGGAATATTTTGGTATGAAATGGAAAATAATCGCTTCCTCCCAGCTCCCTAGGTTTTTACACCCTGGACCATGCATCAAGATTTGGTGTAGGGGAGGGTTAGTCCTTTCTTTTGTAAAGTAGGACAAGGACTGTGGTGAAAGTGGGGATAATGGTGGAATGGAGAGTGTGCTTGAATATGTCAACTGGCTCTCAAACAGAGTAGTTTTAGAAGTTTTTTTTTTTTTTTTTTTTTTTTCCGAGATGGAGGCTCTCTCTGTCACCCAGGCTGGAGTGCAGTGGCGCAATCTCGGCTCACTGCAACCTCCCCCTTCTGGGTTCAAGCAGTTCTCCTGCCTCAGCCTCCTGAGTAGCTGTGATTACAGGTTCTCACCATGATGCCCGGCCAATTTTTGTATTTTTAGTAAAGACTAGGTTTCACCATGTTGGTCAGGCTGGTCTTGAATTCCTGACCTCTCAATCCACCTGCTTCAGCCTCTCAAAGTGCTGGGGATTACAGGTATGAGCCATTGTGCCCTGGCCTTTTATTTTTTTTTTTTGAGATGAAGTTTCACTCCTGCTGTTGCCCACACTGGAGTATAGTGGTGCAATCTGGGCTCACTGCAACCTCCCCATCCTGGGTTAAAGCAATTCTTATGACTCAGCCTCCCAAGTAGCTGGGATTACAGGTGTCGGCCACCACTACTGGCTAAATTTTTTTTTTTTTTTTTTTTTTCTGAGATGGAGCCTCGCTCTGTTACCAGGGCTGGAGTTCAGTGGCCCAATTTGGCTCACTGCAACTTCCTCCTACTGGGTTCAAGCGATTCTCCTGCCTCAGCCTCCTGAGTAGCTGTGGTTACAGGTGTACACCACCATGCTTGGTTGTGTATTTTTAGCAGAGACGGGTTTCACCATGTTGGCCAGACTGGTCTCGAACTCTTACCTCAGGTGATCCTCCCTCCTCGGCCTCCCAAAGTTCTGGGATTATAGGCGTGAGCCATCGCACCCGGCCTGGTGTTAGGAAATATTTCTTTTTTCTTTTTCTTTTTTTCCTTAAACACCACCACTTGTCAGCAGAAAGGAAATATTTCATAGAGAAGTTGAAGATCTAGAAATGTATTCCTTTAAAACTCTTCTCCGACTGATTTGAGAATATTGCCTGGATATTCCTTGCAATCTTCACATACCCATGGAAAATCTTCATTTACCCAATTTGGAAGACTTCTTAATATAGGCATATCCAAACTCCAAGGTCTCTGACTATCCACTATTTTGGGACACCAAAGCAAATGTCCTGGGAAGTAAGGAAGAAGACTTGTTCTTGGAATAGAAGTAAATTATGAGAGAAGTCAAAGACAATGGCACCAAGTTGGTGTAGTATAAAGGTCATGGATACGGTCCTTGGCTTTGCAGTTCTAGAAGTGTGATTTTGTCAGTCCACACAAAGGTGTTCATGTTTTGTCACATTAAATCAAATTCATAGTAAGTTAATGTGAATAATAGAATGCCAGTTTATTCTTTCATACTTAGAGCCACCAAGTGAACTGGATTATCTCTCCTGTTGGGGAATCTTACCTGAAGATTATAATCAGAAAGTTACATGAGGATTGTGGATCTTGAGTATGGCTATTGTCAGTAAGCTGATGAGCAGATGCTCACTGCCTGGCATATAATAGGAGCTCAGTAATTATGGAATGAATGTACCTCATCTATAACTTCACTATAGATGCTAAAGGGGAAGTTTAAGATTCTGATAGGCCACCTCATCATGTTTTTTGATTAGGTAGATTTTACCTTGTTCCTCATGTTATACTCTTAAATGGCTATATCGTGTAGATATTAAATCCAATAAAATTTCATGTCAGGGAATTATATAATTGCAATAGCTAAGTTTTATCTATCATCTCTGAGCCTAGAAATTGGGCCTGTTCATTTATAAAAGAGATTGGACATTGCTTTCTTGTGCCCTATAGGAGTAGTGATGGTGGTAATGGCTGAATGATCTGTATTTACAATACTATTTGGTGGCCAAGAGTGTACTACGTAAAAATAATGACACTGGGTGACCCTCAGT